ACAATTCGGAGGATCCCGAAGGGAATTGATGTACCTACACTTTAAACGTTACACTTACTTACACTTTTTAAACTCAGACACCAGACAAACACGTTTACGATACAGACGGACGAAAAGGGTGTTACACCTTTTACACTTTTCTACACTTTCCGTATAAACGACTTAGTTATAGGTCTGCGGAACGAGCGAGCGCGAACTCTACATTTATATTACACTTTTAATTACAATTTACTACACTTTGCTACACTTTAGGGTAAAACCTTTATATTTTATCATTATCTTATTAATTACAACGAACTAGAGAAAGAACGGCCAAAATGGAGCTATTCCAGGTCAAAACTTATTACTTTTTACATTTGATATTATTTTCTTATATTTTACTTACACTTTTCTACACTTTAGTGTTCTCTCTACACTTTTGTAAAGCTTAGAGCCAAATTAACTTTAATTGCATGATTTCGTTATTATTTTAATATTCCCTGTCGATTTTAAGTTTGATTTTATTATTTTCATGTACGCGCGATAGAATTAAGTCGACGCGATATTTACTTTATATACTTACCGTATTTACACCAAAAGGTGCAAGCTTGAGCATCGCCGATGCATTACATTACGTTGGGACGATTCCTTCGATGAACCCGGGTACCTGTAAAAGAAAAGATATAATGACGGACGTAATGACCGTTCGTACTTACCTGGCTTCCATAGGATTCGTCCGTGTGACTTCTTCCGAGTCACTCGATACCGTTTGAGTGACTCTTGATTCGCTCGTGCGAATCGTCGCAGTGCAGCGACGCGAATCGGTTCACGCTTCGGCGATAGCCCTTCGCGACGTTGCACTTTAGGAGGAGAGCTACTCTCCAGGATGTAGAGATAGAGTGCATGATAAACCGTCTCTACGCGCCGGTTACACTCGAAGTGTCGAAGGAGTCGTACCGCGCTACACCCGTAGGTACGACTAACCAATAGGAGGGCTTCGCGCCCAAACAGGCACACCGGCACATGCGTTGCCTCAAAGTGGGGAGACTCGACCCGTTCCTCCTGGACAGTTCGTCGTGAAACTTCGATGCGGTTGCACGTTGCGGTGATCGCGAAACAAATCGAAGCCGACGTGGCTTATCCCGTTGACCGCTTGCGTTAACAGCGTGATTAATAACGATTTGATACGCGATACGGGATAACGATCCATTCGTGTAAGTCGACGTTTAGAATACACCCTCGGACGGAGGATTAATCCCGAACACGGGATACGTTTGTAGAAGTGAAGGAACAATAAATTGTTATTTGTTTATAATAAAACGAGAGTGATTATATCTTGGCCCGATAATAATTCCTATCCGAGTTCCGTATATTACGCGACGCAACAACAGGGCGTGGCCGACGGCCTTGAACACGTCCGCGGCGTAGAAGACGGCGGCCATTGAGCTGGAAGGAAGCGAGGGGCATAGCAACAGCCAGAGGTTTCTGTATTTGAGCCTTAAAATACAGTGGCGACCGTATAATTCAGCCCAAGTAATAAGTGGCTATATTTTGATTTTCACGACATCAATCGTTGTTCCGGTCACACCCTTACTTCATATACAATTCTTTAAGATTCGGTCAATTAATTCCCGAAAAATTGAAAAAATTTCGGTACCAGTTTCCAAAAAGATCGGTAACAAAAAATTGTACACTTTATAGCACTCCCTAGAAAATTCTACCCTTGTTTAATCTACAGTTCCGGTTTCCAGAAAATCGGTAACAAAAAACTATACACATAGTGGCACTGACCGGAAAATTCTACCCCTGTTTCATATACTTTTGGTAAAAATTCGGTTTAGGGGTTTGGGCTGGGCGTTGATGAGTCAGTGAGTGAGTCAGTGAGTCAGTCAGGACATCTTCCTTTATATATGTTACAGTTAAAACCCGAAATCCGTCAAAACCCCAATTTATTAAATTCTAATTTTAACTAAGCCCTTTCGGTAATTCGCGTTCTAACTGAAATAATTTAGTCAAAATTAGATTTGACCGAGTGCTTTAGTATATTCGCGTTCTAACTGAAAAAATTTAGTTAAAACTAGAATTAATCGACTGCTTTAGTAAATTCGCGGTCTAACGTGTTTCTCTTACAGTCAAAATCTTTCCGCGTATAGGTAGATTAGTGACGCGCTTTAAAAGTATTTAAGTGTTTAAAGCGCGTCAACTAACCTACATAGATTTGTTGACGCACTTTAAACACTTAAATACTTTTAAAGCGCGTCACTAACCTACATAGGTTAGTGACGCGCTTTAAATAATAAAAATAGTTAAATACATGTATGTATAGCATTGCCGATTGAGGGATTTTGCGTTTTGACTGTAAGAAAAACACGTCAAACCGCGAATTTACTAAAGCACTCGGTCAATTCTAGTTTTGACTAAATTATTTCAGTTAGAACGCGAATTGCCAAGCTGGCTTAGTTAAAACTAGAATTTACCAGTAAATTCGGGTTTTCACGGATTTCGGGTTTTAACTGTAACATATACATAGATTAGAAATTTTACTTTTTCCTCATGTTTAATAATTGTTATTTTCAACGATAAATATTATAATAATTTTCTTTTATGTGTTACACATTATATTTATAGTATTAAAACATATAATATACAATATAAATACTTAAATAAATATAAATATTTTAATCAATGCAGGGGCAAATACCTCGAAAAATATGAAAGATACAAAAAAAATGTTTCAGACAAAAGTTGTATGGTTTAAAGGGAGATGTAAAATAGTGGCAATAATTTGTTTTTGGATGATTGTTTGAAGTTCACATAAATGTCACCTTTAAATTCTTAAATGGAACACGCTAGTGTAGTATATCAATGTGATTTCTGCCCAGTGCTCTGAATGTCAACGTGAAGAAATTCAAGCAAGCGCGGGTAAACGGCGGGAGTAACTATGACCCTCTTAAGGTGAGCACGCCTTGACACTCCCTTATCCGCTATAATTTTTGTTCGGTACAAGATCTGGAGTGCATGGTATGAGCATTAGCCCCTGGTTGATCGACCCTAGCGGCCGATCCCGGGGGCTTTTTGCTTTAAAAGTTTTTGGAGTTGGAGGTTTGAGATCCGTGGTGCATGTTACGCCTGTCGCGCGTTCTCGTCTCACTATCGCACTCACTCACGCGCGACGCGTATTCCGGCACTCTCACAAATAAATCAAGGCTTGTTGTTTTTAGAAAAAGAACTCGTTTAATATCGTAATACAAGAAGCTCGGGAAAACACGTCCGAACCAGTGGCTACGTTTACACCCAGCGACCTGATCGCGGCCTGACCTATATTGTGACCCGAAGTAGGTCTAGTCATCATTCGTTTACACCGAAAGAAACCTAAAAATTGACGGGATCGTATTTGGGGATCGCCCTGAATTGCAGCGGATCCGAACAAGCAAATGAAGCTTTTAGGACGCGTCGCGCTTGATCGCGCGTTTACATCGCAAATGATAACGGCCGATTTCAGGTCGGGTCACTAAAATACGCGGCCTGATCTGAAGCCAGGTCCGGTCGTCTATCAACTGTTTACAGTAGGCGGGCTAAATAATTTAGGTCGAATTTGAGGTACAGGCCGCGGCCTAATTTCAGGGTGTAAACGTAGCCAGTGCCGCCAGAAAATGAGACGCGGCCCGGTCGTCATGGAGATGGAGAGGATACTCACACAAAACACGAGCTACGTCCGTGTGCGTTCAGCGTTTCGGTTGCCTTCGGCTGAATAAAAGAAGGCAGACATATGATCTTCTGTCCTTCTTCCTCCCGCTCGAACCGTACCATAACTCGGGTGTCCGCATTTCGTTTTACCACGCAGTCCACGCACTGACAATGTTATATGTATATGTACATACAATTTGTAATACTAAAATGAATTAAAATATTAAAATACTAAATAAAAATAAATAATGTATTTCTATTTTTATATTTAATTTAATAATTTTTTTACACAAATAGAAATAGCATAGCAATTTATATTTTTGCAACCAGTATTTTTTTATTTTTCTAAAAACGAGAATCGTGTATAATTGTGCAAATATGCGACCAATACCTATGTGGCGGCTGTAAGCGCCCCGAATCTGGCGGCGCAACCGCCACAACACAAGCACGCCCCGCGCCTGCCAGACGGCAGCCCGTCATACACACCCCGACCGGCAAGAGCACCGGCGGCACGGCGAACGGCCGCACGCAACAAGCACGTGCAATCAGCATGCCGTCAAAGATGATAACAAGTACGCTCCGCTAGGCGGCTGCCCTTTCTCGTAAGAGAAATTCGGCGACCAGGATATATAAGGACCGGCAAGCGACGATACCTTTGACTATCCTCGCACAGCTATACTACAGCATCAGCCACGAGAAGGAAGTCTTTTGAGAACGCTGCGCAAGTGGCATCGCACCAAGCCGCCAACTTCTCGCTCATCGCTGCCGACACGCCAGGCCACGCAGACTGAGGATCCGGACTTAGCCGATCAAGGGACATACACACCGCCCGGCACACCGCCGGCGTGGAGGGGTACCGGAGCGTGGGGAACTCGCCAGCCACTCCACCGTACAAAGACGCAGCCGTGCCTGGTCTGGAGTGAACGCTTGCCGTCCGACTAAGGCGAAACCAATCGGCCCTTTTCAGGGCCACATTACACAAACGGCCCTTCTCAGGGCCCCCAAATATCTCCAACATACATCGCCATCTCGCATAAATTTTGGCCTAACGCCATACCTATATACCAATATATTTACATTATTAAAAATTATTTATTTAAATGATACACGTTTATTATACATTACCGTTATGTGAGTTATTGTATTATTATGATAAACTCATTTATATGCTAGTAGACATATTAAAATAAAGGGAACATAATAAATAACACTTAATATCTATTAATAAATAAGAATAAAATTTATTATTTATTCAGTGTAATGAATAAATAAACGAACATGTCCTTCGATATTACATATATTAAAGCATACAATTTGCTTAAGGAACAACGCAATCACAATTCACAATTTTGTAAATCGCATATCTTTACTTGCAGATCAGTACCACCGGCATTTGCGTAATCCGATGCGCACCACGGGTTGCTCGATCGTATTTTGCACATCATGATGTCTTTTACAGATATGAATAAGTCTTTTACATAAACATTATATTATATCTCTTACAGACATATGTTTCTTATAAATAAGATTTAAAAAAAATCAAAAAGTTAAAAGTTAAAAGTTAAGGTACATAAAAGAAATTAGAAAGCAAATGCATAAACAAATTTTTTAAATTTAAAACATAAAATTAACAATTTTAGTGTTTAAAAATTTGAAATTATTTATTAACTAGTAAATATTAAAAACAACGCAACAACAATTGATATATTATAAATATTAATATAAAAGGTTCGTATATTATTACATAATATAATTTAATATTAACACTCATCTCGCCAACGTTTTTTCTGGACATCAATCTTCCAACCATGCACTTTCGAGTCCCACGCGTTTTTCAAAATGTTAATAGCTTTGAAAAATTCTCCAAAAATTATTATAATATCTTTATACCTTCGACTAAAAATGAATGTAAAGAACATTTGGAAATTATTTATTTAAATATTTTTTTACAACAATTATATAATGACAAACACACGTTACGACTCGTTTTATTTAAAAAATTATAACTAACAAACAAATTGACAAAGGTTAATAATCAAACACGCAAATTAAAGCTAAAAGTAGTGCGAATAAGAAAAGTAATAATAATAATAATAATATTTTTTTAATTTATATAATAATTTTTTATTATATAACCGCGGCCTCGTCCCCAGGGGCAGCCACGTCCCCGCTGAAAATACCAGCGCGCGCGCGCTCGCCCACGTCCCATTCCTTGTCGGAGTCCTAAAAAAAATTAAGGAATATATTGTAAACGGAATATGTGTATGTAATTAATCATGAAAAATAATAGATGAATGTGATACTATTAATATAAAAAGAAATACGTACTCTTTTTATCTTGTTGCTGCTCTTGCTGCGGTGGCTGTTGCAGCTGCTGCTCCGGCTGTTCCTGTCCCGGTTGCGGCTGCGGCTGCGGTTGCTGCGGTTTCTGTAGCTGCAGTTGCTTCTGCTGGTGCTGCAATTCCAGTTGCAGCTGCTTAATTTGCAGCAACAGCGATTGCTCTTTTTGCTGCTGCTGCTGCTGCTTCTGCTGCTGGATATGCAGCTGCTTCTGCTGATGCAGCAATTGCTGCGTCATTATTTGCAGTTGCTTTAGGGTGTAGCAGGGTGGAGCAGAACTTTTTGCAGAACTCTCGTCATCGTCGTCAAACATGTCTTGATCTTCATCAAGATTTCCTTTTTTTCAGCTGAAAGAAGATAATAACAATAAAATCTGTAATATAATTAAATTAAATTAACCCTTAACATGTATATGTGGGTCTACGGCGTCCGAGAGAAAGTGATATCTGCTTGTAACTGATGTTTGTAACCGATGTTTATCAAAATAACTATAAAATCATCAACTACAATGTAGACAGATGTTTCATGAATTTTTTTTAGATTTTTTAAAATACTTTAAGGTAGGGAAAATAGCGTTGAATGTGACAGATCCACGTATACACTTAGAAGATACCAAAAAAAAACGTATACACTTTAAGGGTTAACTAATATTGGTGTGCGTGTGATGTAATTTTTTTATTGTATAGAGTGTCATTCAATGACACTTTACACGTTTACGCGAGCGTTACTTCTGTAGTAACTTACAATAATTCCTTCACATAAACGGGATTTTGTAGTAACTTGCGATAATTTACTCCGCGTAAACGAGTGAATTATCGTAAGTTACTACAGAAGTAACGCTTGCGTAAACGTAGTATGAGTGAGTGAGTTAATGATAAATAATGTATAATACTTACTTGACATTTAAAGGTTCTTTAATTTTCTTTGAAGCAGAGATGTCATCTAAACGAGTCACGGCGTTTTTCTTCTTTCATCTATGTAACAAATAAAAAACGCCTATTCGTGTAATGACAGCTGACAAGCCGACACGAATAAATAAGGCGTCTTTGTGTGCATAGGTGGAAAAAAAAAAACGCTGACTTTTATTTCGAATCTGAGCATTCTTCGTATTCTTATAAAAGTTCACGAATTGAGCTTTTATAAAAATTTGATGAAGATTGTTCTTGACTGATTGTTCCTGATTGTTCTTCTCTTCTTGATTATTCTTGATTGTTCTTTGACTTGTGAGGATTCGCGTTATTGTATTAATATAATTACTTGTGTGGTGACACTGCTGGTGACTCAAGTGGCGATTCATGTGACAACTCGACGTGTGGTGAGTCATATGAAAAATTGCGTATTAAAAATTTAAAAAATTTCAAATAATAAAAGTTAATTTTATTATTATTATTTAATTATTTAATTATTTAATTATTTAATTATTAATATGGAAACGTGTGATCAATTGAAAAAGAAATGTAAACGAATTTTTTCTGAAAATTGGCTAACTGATGATCGATTTAAATTTTGGATACGCAAAGTATCATTTGATGATAGTCTTTTTCATTGCACTGTATGCAATAATAATTTCTCGTGCAGTTTATCATGTTTTAAGACATGCGGAATCTGCATGTCATAAAAATAACATCACAAAAAGTACATCATTATTCAATAATAATAATAATGATGTAAACTCGAGTACTCTAAATAAAGCAGCGGGTAAACGACGATTTAAACAAGAATGGTTACAGATTTAACAATTTAAGCTGTGGTTACTTGAAGTGCCATATAAAGAAAATTTATTTGCTTGTTCAATTTGTAATAAATTTATTGTTGGTGGTTTATCTCAAATCTATCGTCATGCAGATTTTAAGATGCATTTAAAAAATTTGGAAAAATGTAATACAGAAAGTAGTTCGTCGAATATAAATTTAAATGCGCAAAACGAAACATTTTTGCCGTTTAAAAAGAAAAAAATGTCATTTGAAATTCGATATGCCGCCGTAATGGTTGAAAGAAATATTTCGTTTGCATCTGCAGAAATAATTCTCAATTTGTTTAAAGACTTAGCGAAAAATGAGGATTGTAGAGAGATTTTAGAAAGTATGTGTATGGGTCGAACAAAGTGTACGAATATAATTTCGAATGTTTTGTGCCCAGTTGAGACTAATCGTGTAGTCAAAAATATTCAAAATACTAAATTTTCAATTTTTATTGATGAAACATTAGACACATATTACAAATGAAAAATGGATGACGTTTCATGTACGATATGTTAATCCTCAAACATTAGATATTCACTCACAATTAGTAAAGTTGATTGATGTCGATGCGAGAGATTGCAGTGCAGAAAAATTATTTAATACCTTTAAATAAGAAATGTTGAAACTACAAATACCATTTAAAAATATTATTGCCTTGTCATGCGATAATGCTTCTGTCATGACAGGGAAACATTTATCATTTAAAAAAAAACTTGAAGAAAAGTGTAAAAATGCATTAACGCTTTCATGTCCATGCCATTCCGCTGCATTAATTGCGCATGCCGCATGTGAAAAAATACCTCCAGTTTGCGACAAATTTTTAAGAAAGATTGTAACATATATAAATAGTAGTCCGAAGCGTACAGCCATTTTTCGCGAATTTTGTGAATGTTTTCAAGAAACAAATCATAAAATTTTAAAATTAGCAGAAACGCGGTGGCTTTCTCGCCACTCATGTATTGAACGAATTCTTGAATATTGGGATACTATTAAATATTTTTTGAATGAAATGGTTGTAAGTGAAAAGACAGAATCGGGGGAATATCTTTTATCTGTAATGCAGAACATAGACATGAAAGCATATTTATTATTCTTAAAATATATATTTCAATTTTTTAATGTCTTTAATGCATTTTTTCAAGCTAAAGAAACAAGGATTCATTTGTTGCAGTCAAAAGTAATTGATTTCTTTATTGATATCTGTATAAATTTTTTAAAACCAGAACTTTTAAAATATTTGCCTGAAATTAATTTCTCACAAAATAAAAATCATAAATCTTTGATTGAAATTAATTTAGGATCGCAATGCGAAGAATATCTCAGTCAATTAATGATTGAAGGACATACAGACGCAGTTATAAATATTCGAGAAAATTGTTTACAATTTTACATAACTGCTGCCGAGCAAATTTGTAAAAGATTACCAGTCAATGACAAATTTTTGTCTAAATTAAAAGTTTTCAAATCGCATACAGCTTTATTTGATATCGATAAAGAAACGTCATTCAATAATATTTCCTTTATCGTTAAAACTATTGGCGGTTTTGATGAAGACTGTTTAAAGAAAGAATGGTCAACATTGCATTTAGATTTTACTGTAGCGAAAAAACAAAATTTAAAAGAATTAAATTTTGATGAAATGTGGAAGCAAATTTTGCAATGTCAGAATAACGACATTAAATATCCTAATTTAAGATCTCTTCTAAATGCAATTCGATCACTTCCTAACTCGAATGCTGATTCAGAAAGAATATTTTCATATCTGCCAGATGTAAAAAACGAAAAAACGAAATAGTCTGTCATCAGTTTCTGTAAATGCTATTTGCGTCGTTAAATCAGCATTACATGCCAGAGGGGAAAATATTTTAAACATGAAAATTGATGACAATCATTTATCTCTCATGTCATCTAATAAATTATATGCTAAGCATCCTACTAAGCAAAAAAGTAGTCTAACATTATATCCTGCAGATGATGACAATATTGGTGATCTTTCTTCATTTAATGATGTGCAATAATGTCTATAAAAGCAAATGCAAATAAAAGCAGCGCCGTGTAAAGTATCTTTTAAAGACATCGTCTATAAAAAACACCACGTCTGTAAATCTTGTAACCACGATGCTAAAAATCACTCCGAGATCTCGGACAGAGAAAGATTTAACAAATCATATTTAAACAATTCGGTCATTTGACCAATGCGATTAGTCAATTCTCTCTCCATCCGAGATCTCGGAGCGATTTCTAGTATCGTGGACACAAAGGTATAGAGACATAAAAAACGATTATGTACAAAATGTCTGTAAAAGACATTATGTCTATAAGAAACTTCATGTCTGTAAGAGACATATATATGTCTGTAAAAGACATTCATGTCTGTAAGAGACATCCCCAGCGAGAAATGCCCCATCTAATCGACGTCTAATCATTTCTCGCTGGGGCATGATGTGCAAAATCCGACCGAGCAACCTCCCCGTGGTGCACATCGGGTAACGCAAATGCCGGCGGTACTGATCTGCAAGTAAAGATGTGCAATTTAGAAAATTGTGAATTGCGATTGTGTTGTTCCTTAAGCACGCAAATTGTGCTTTAATATATGTAATATCGAAGGACATGTTCGTTCATTTATTTATTATACTATGAATAAATCATGAATTTTATTATTATTTATTAATAGATATTAAGTGTTATTTATTATGTTCCATTTACTTTAATATGTTTTTACTAGCATATATAAATGAGTTTATCATAATAATACAATAACTCACATAACGGTAATGTATAATAAACGTGTATTATTTAAATAAATAATTTTGAAGAATATAAATATATTGGTATATATTGGTATATATTGGTCGCATATCTGCACAATTATACATGATGCTCGCTTTCAGGAAAGTAAAAAAGATACTGGTTGCAAAAATGTAAATTGCTATGCCATTTCTACTTGTGTAACAAAAATATTAAATTAAATATAAAAATAGAAATATACTGTGTTTACGCGAGCGTTACTTCTGTAGTAACTTACGATAATTCACTCATTTACGCGCGGAGTGAATTATCGTAAATTACTACAAAATCCCGTTTACGCGAAAGAATTATCGTAGGTACGTTATTATCGTGTATCGTTACATTATTTATTTTTATTTAATATTTAATATTTTAATATTTTAATTTATTTTAGTATTACAAATTGTATGTACATATACATATAACATTGTCAGTGCGTGGACTGCGTGGTAAAACGAAATGCGGACACCCAAGTTATGGTACGGATCGAGCGGGAGGAAGAAGGACAGAAGATCATATGTCTGCTTTCTTTTATTCAGCCGAAGTCAACCGAAACGCTGAGCGCACACCGAGGGGCTGGTCACTTCGGAAATCATTGAACCACTTGATTCGAAATCGCCATAGGAAATCGCGGAGAATCACTGGAAATCAATGGAAGTCGAGTGATTTCTCTTTGCATTGAGGAATCATGTGAAATTATAGGAAATCGTTACGAAATCACACAAATTCGGAAATCGCTTGAAATTACAAATGTTTTCAAGCTATTATAATATGTATACTATAAGAGTATCTACGATTTCATTGGTCGAAATCTAGTAAATCTATTCACTTTTCGTATTTTTGCCTCGTGAAAAGATACGTAATAGGCCCCCAGGTTTCATCCTCTCTATGCCACGGTACTAAGTTGAGCGTCATGTTTTTCCCTTATGCGCAGAGGCGGGATGTTCTTTCGTTGAATATATATTACGGCTCGCCGCTGAGCACAGCGCGACCGAGCAAAGCCCAAATAAGAAGCAATCGACACCGAGCTCGACACCCAATGTAACAATGACGATGAGAGAGACGTAGGGGAAATAAATTTGGAAAATGTAATAAAAAAATCAGATTCACGTACAGACGAAAGTTCAGAAGAAAGTAAACAAGAATTATTAGAGAATTTGACCATTCTTTCTAAAGGTCGTCTAGAATTAAAAAGTTATAATAAATTCAAAACTCAACTTCATACACAGAGTCCATTTGTTGTTGTAAGAGATCAATTGAATAATGAACTGTTGGCTATTAAATAAAAATTCGTTTAACTTAAGTAGTGATCGGTTACAAAGGGTTCGAGATTCGGAATTGACAAAGAATAAAAAGAAAATTCAAATAAATGGCGATAAATGTAATGAGAAACAGGTTTTCTTTAAAAAATGCGAGGAAATTAATATTGGTGATTGATGTCTATTTAGAAAATGTAATAGTACTAAGTGCTTTGTTGGTATGATTTTGAGCTTTGCCTATTTAGAAGGACAAACATTAAAAAGTCATGAATATTCTAGTTCTTACGCAGAAATAAAAGGTAATATCAAAGAGATTGGTGTATTGTGTTATTGGTATGAATTAAAATCAAATAAAAAGCTGATACCTGTACCAATGGATGTACATAGTTATATAAACGTATTTAACTGTCTATTTAAACATATTTTTAACTCTTAAATTAACAATTATTACAGGTCTTCTGGCGATAGCCGTTTGTAAGCAAGGCAAGCCCTACTTGCAATAAAAACTATTAAGCAAATAAAAAATAATAAATTTATTAATTTTTATTTAATAATATTAATAATATTAATTTAATAAATAATAATAATAATTAATTAATTAATTTTCTGTTTGTTATAATCTAGAAATCATTGATTTTGAAATGTCAAATTCATTAGAATTCATTAAGAATCATGCAAATTCATGAGGAATCACGGGTAATCGTATACATTTTGAAATCGCGGAAATCCTATAGGCAATCGTTAGAAATCGATTTCTTTTGGAAATCATTAGTCCATTGAAATCGAGAGTGACCAGCCCCTCGGCGCACACTGACGTGGCTCGTGTTTTGTGTGAGTATCCCCTCCATCTCCATGACGACCGGGCCGCGTCTCATTTTCTGGCGGCACTGGCTACATTTACACCCTGAAATTAGGCCGCGGCCTGTACCTCAAATTCGACCTAAATTATTTAGCCCGCCTGCTGTAAACAGTTGATAGGCGACCGGACCTGGCTTCAAGTCAGGCATCGTGTTTTAGTGACCCGACCTGAAATAGGCCGTTATCATTTGCGGTGTAAACGCGCAACACGTCCTAAAAGCTTTATTTGCTTGTTCGGATTTGCTGCAGTTTCAAGAGTGACAAGAGTGACAAGAGCCGTCAAGCGATTTACATATTTAAAAAATGAATAAAAATTCGTGTTCAAAAAGTTTTTTGAAAAGTTCTTGTTCAGCAACTGCTGCTGTTCCTGTTCTTGTTCCTGTTCCTGCCCCTGTTCCTGTTCCTGCCATTGTTCCTTCTGTTTTTGCCACTGTTTCTCCTGTTTTTGCCCCTGTTCCTGTTCCTGCCACTGTTCCTCCTGTGTTTGTCCCTGTTCCTGTTCCTGCCCCTGTTCCTGTTTCTGAATTATGTGATGATGATGGGATGATTGGAGATAAAACTTTAAATCAGTCATCGAAAAGAACGAAAGTTAAAGGATTGAACTGGACAGACATCGAAACACAGATATTCATTGAATTTTGCATCGAAAAACGAATAATTCAATTAATGGACGGAAAGCGCCATAAGCATATCGATATATACAAATCACTAGAACCGAATATGAAAGAAATGAGTTTTATTAAAACTGGCGCACAAATGAAAACCAAATTAAAGCATTTAAAAGAGGCATACTTTAAATGTAAACGAAGTAACAGCGTTAGCGGTGCCGCCCGTATGAGTTTTAAATTTTATGATGCGATCGACCAACTTCTTGGCGAAAGGTCATCCGTTGAAGCAATTAACAATCATGGCATTGATTCATCTAGTGCCCAAGATGCCAATAATCAAAGTAAGAAGAAACTTATTTGTATTAACTTTGATTATTATTTAGTTATTTTGTTCTTTATTAATACAATATATTTTCAGTACTGCCTGTGGATGAAGCATCAAATATGGAAGATTCTTTGATTAATGTAGAAGTAGAAATAGAAGAAAGAGAAGAAAAAAAAGAAAACATAAAATCTGCTAAAAAAACAAGTGGTTAGTATTTTTATACTCCATCTATATATACACACACACACACACACACACACACACACACACACAAATCCCCTGTACAAATCCCCTGTACACCATGAAAATGAAAATGACTATTTATACTTACTCTACCGAACATAATTATTGCAGAAAGTTATAATAATTTACCTAAAAGAATCTGGAGTGCTTAGCCTCCATAACGCCAACAAAAATTGTGTGCGTGGAGAGATCATAGGTGTTCCACCTTTTGTCCTTTGTAGTCTTTGTTCAATACAAGATAGAACATAATCACAGGTTTCAGGAGCCATCCTAAATCACGCAATATATGTATATAGTTATCAGATATTACTTCTCTCTATTGCAACCAAAATATTTTATCAAATATTTTGATTATAGTTGCTCAAATATGTTAAATATAATACGCATTTATATTTTGACAAACATGAAGTAAAATATAACTTTTTTTCCAAAAAAAAAAAATCATTAACATTGATGAAATCATACCTGAAATGACCCTTAAATTCTTCTTTTGTTAATGCTGCTACTATTCCTTCCACATAATTTTCAATTCTCGGTACACGTCTTCTTGAGTTTAAAGTCCTTATTATTTTTAAATCTTCATCATCGCTTTCAGATGATGAATCTATTGAGTCTTGCACTACAAGTGCTACTGCTGTTAATATTACTTTTTTGCGATCTTGCTCCATTTTGCTATTAGATTAGATTCACGCGATCGAGGTAACGCGAAGTGACAGAACGACCAAGTAATATTCAAATGGTTGCGAGCGGTGATACAAGTATACTGAGCAGGTGAACTTCGGGCTAATCATCAACAATATTTATCGCGTTTTAAAACTTTGAAGGATATTCGAGGACTCAGTGTGTGATCGTTCGCGCTTGACATGCGCGGAGCTCGAATTTCGGAAGGGTGATTGACCATCAGCGGCCTTGTACATTACGGCAAATTTTCGTTTGACGATCCGAAGCGATTGTTACTTGTTTTTGATTACGATGTTTATAGCATGGATTTTTTCTTGTGTGTAAGAGCGGTTGCTTGACTTTGACGAACGAATGTTAGCGAACTTTCCGGAATACGAATAATAGAAAAATCCATGCTATAACTTAAGAGTAATACGACTCATTTCAGGCGAAATTCTAATTTATTGAAAGCGTGCGAGTACAAGCATGCAACCGAAAGCGATTTTCGGTACGAAATATTACGATCTCAAACAACTGTATAACCATCAGATATCAGACTTCTTTCTCTCTTACTTATTAAACATTTCTTCACATATTAAGTTGTATAAATAATATGAATAATATAACTTATACTTAATGTAAAACTTATTTTACTGACTTTAAATACATGTTTTTTTGAAATTAATTTGAAATTATCGTGAATAAATAATATTTTATTAGATTTTGATGGTTTTAACGAAGAACGTTTTGCTGTGGTAAGCAAACCTGCAGAAGAAAACGCGCGTTCAGATGCTGAACTTGTAATCGGTATGGCATGAATGCAGCATACCAATTTGTACAAATTCGGCAGTGACAACTTCATTTTATTCCACCATTGTAGAGGATCTTCGATAATAGATTCTGACATATGTAAATACTTTTTAACATCGTCAAGAGTAGGATCTTCAGGAGGAATAATGCTTGTATGTTTTGCAGTCAACTCCAATCGTAATTTTTTAACTCCAAGAAGCTCACACGACTTATTCGGATAATCTTCTTTATTAGATGCCTATTATGAAAAAGTAAAACTAAACATGAGAATCTAACTTATATATGTCATAAAAATAATAATCTTATATTTGATGATTAATATAGAAGCTGTTGCAAATATAAACTATGTAAGACTTATATGGAGGGGTTAAAGCCATAGTGGTGTAAGTCACTTTTTTTAACCTATCAAGTTAAGTTCATAAATGCAGTTTACACATGCAGATATGTTGAAAAAAGAAGAAAAAAAAAGTGGTCAAAAAAATTGACTTACACCACTATGATTTTAACCCCTCCATATATACTAGGCTTAATTACAATATATTAAGCCTAGATTTTGTAAATCTAGATACTGTAAATTACCTAGACTAGGTATTGCTTATTGTTAGATATATAGTTTATAAAAACTGTAATATATATATAAAAGTTATATATAGCTTAGTGGACAAAATTCATATACACTAATTTTATCATTGTATTAAAAGTATAAATTAATTTTATATAGCATATAATCAAAAATGGAACCAAATATACGGATATACTATTAAAAAATTATATATTTAATTATATTTCTCATTTTATATAAAAACAATGTCACTCAATTGGACAATAAGTTTTACTAGAACAAAATTATTTGTTAAAATATGATCTAATCTAAAACGTCGCTTAATGTTAATAAATAAAACATAAAAATAATCTAACCTGCTTTTTCTAATATTTAGGGGAACCATTTTGTGGATCATATATTATATATTAAAAATTCGTCAGAAGATTGCTGCTTGTCTGCGAGATATTCAGCAACACCTCTAACACTTTGAAAAGTCGGATCCAGAAGTGCTCCGCAAACATGAGTTTTATGGAAATCGCTTTTTTATATTTTGTAAAATAGTTTCTTTAAGTTGTTTTACTACGAATAAATCGTATTCATTTACACACATACTACTCTCAATTTCTGTCCTGAAAATATTAAAGAATAAGTAATTGATACAGCAGCATCTCAGCTTTTCAAATTTGGCAGCGCAGCGAAACGCTACGCTAGTACGCTACTGCTGTTCATGGAACTCGCATTCGCTAGCGCTATCATGGCTCCATAAACGGAGTTAATAGCGTTAGCGTTGGTAGCGCGGTAGCGAGCTCCCCGAACGCACCCTGAGTCTCTATCGCCCCTTCGAGTTGCGTCACGCGCCCCCTTTATGAAGATTGTGTGTGGCTCTAGCCGGGATCATGCGCCTATTATGCCGATCCGCGCATGTTATGGCTTAACAAAAATTAACTTTAGGCTTAAGCCGTTAACAGAGAAAACATAAAGAAAATTTGAATCGGCGGTAATCAAAACTTATTCTACGTAAGCCGCTGCTCGGCGAACGTCGTCGCCACGCTTATGTCGATTATATGGTTATACTGTACTCATGCGCCGGATGGGATGCCTGGTATGAAAAATAAAGTTCGGAATGAAAATAACTAACAAAACTAGCATCATGTCTTGTATAATTTCCCCATCCTCGGAGCGCATTCTTATCGCTATATGACTACACGGGGTTCTCTTCCCGGGTTGTCGTCGCTTTCCGGACTCCTGAAACTTCCTGTTGAGACGTTGTCCTCCTCGCACACGCCAGCGCTCAGTGAACCGGCCTTGTCGGCCGAGGCCGCCGGTGGACCGGCGTCTGCATCTATCATGGGACCGAGCTCGCCTTCTAACTCCTCCACAACGCCTCGTATCGCCTCCAGCCCGGCTTGCCGGTTCAGGATCTCATTTAGCATTGCTCCTTCCCCGTAAATACCCCCGGGTGCGCCGGATGTGCCGCTATTCCGTCGCCCACGACCTGCGACAACAGGTCTGGCATGTCACGGTTATGATCGCTTTCGGGCACGCCCGGAGCTTTGGTCACCTCCCATTGCTCCGTCGACCCGGATGCTCGGCCTGTTCGCTGCAACACCTCCATCGACAACTTCCGCAGCACCACCTTGGACGACCTCCCACTTGCTGGGAGCGCGAATTTAGCGAGCGGCTTCAATGTGAACATAGGGAAGAAACGTGGGAGCATGTATGGGAAGAATGTAGAAGATGGGAATCAGGAAATGGTAGTTGGCAGGAAGCGGTGGGATGGGTGTTAAATGAGGAAGGGGGAGGAGAAGAATGGATGTGTAACTAATCGGTTATTTTCTTGACGCACCGCGTAATGTACGGCACTGACCGCGAATGTACTCACGGGGATAATGTCAGGAAGGATGGCTAGGGAGAGACAAGAGAAATATTCAAATAAGGCTAGGAAAATGAACTTTATTCCCGCCTTCGATACAAGCGTCCGATCGCCATTGCCGACCACTAACGCTTCTCGTCCCCGAATCCACCAATAGGAGCTCTTTATCTCACGCTATACCAATTCCGACACTTCTTTATGCGCAGAGCGCTACGGCGCAACTCGGTATCTTAAGCGACCAATCACATTACTCTTAGCCTACACAGGCTCGGCGCGACATTCGACAGATCGGAAACGATCGAAATCTTACAGTTCGGCCATTCTGCAAATACATTCGACCCGAATGTTCACAATATATTTTAATCATTCAAGAACTTAAATGTCTCTTTCTTTATGACAACCATTGCACCTCCTCATTATAAGACTTTAACTGAATATTAATTTTATGAGTAACCAAATAACAAAATATATTCTTCATTGTTAATCTTAGGCATCACATCACAAATTTGTT